GGTGGGGTGGGGGCGGAGGGCGGGATAAAAACTAATATTATTAACATCTTTTCAAAAGTTAATTTGGATATCCCCATATCCGTCATAAATCAACAGGTCATTTAACTGCAGAAGGATTGGCAGAATAAACACAAAAGGACAATACACAAGATTACGAGTTGCAGTTAACACTTACCACTTGAATGAGGAATTCCACTGGAAAGCCTCCTAGTGTTTCACTATCTGTGCCTGAAATTTTGTTTTTCCACGAAGATTGTCCTAATAAAGGATCACTGTCCTATACAAGAAAGAACATCTAATTTAATAGCTTATTTTTAGAGGGATTTGCTAAAATTTTTATCTTGACAAATAACCTCAGAAAATTAATCTCAAAAACCATTTAAGGTAACAGCTTCAAAATGTGTCAGAAAATATTTCAATGATTAATATTACATGAAAAAAGTAACTTACTGTAATCGGAGACTGGAGTGAAGGTGGATAATTCAATCGGGGAGGGGTCATAAAGAACCTTGAAGGACGTTGTTTCTGTCCAAAGGCAGCAATTGGCATGGTTTCATGAGGCTCGTTACTCTGCAAAACAGGAAAAGGAAGGATATACTTCAGCTGCCAGATTAATTAATTTTACACACCTGTTGGAATACATAATTTATTTCTGGAACCTAGACTAGCCATGCCCATCCATGCCCCAAACCCAACAACGTTAAAAGATTGCTCTTGAGCTAGCAGGAGCTTCAAAATCATATTCCATTGCTGGACTTTTCAAAGTGTTATGGCATCACATCAAATAAAACCTGCAAGAATATTTCCAAAAATTCTGTTGGCAAGTTGCAGACAAATCATGACTGAACAGGAGTTCAGCAGAGGCTCCAAACTCAGATCATGACAGAGACTAGTCTTTAGACAAATTATGGGCCCTTAGTAGATTCAACACTACAGAAGATACAAAAGAACGTGAGGTCCTCTGAAAAGCTTGCAGTCTAGGTCAGACTGGCAGGAACAATTCCTAGAGCTCAGAAATTGGTACAAAAGCCTACAAGCTAGGAAATAATCCCAAATTGTTTGACCAAAGCAACATCCTCACAGGTAGCTTCATTACCATAAGAAGTTTCAAAATGAGGTTCAATCAACTCATAATACTTGCTTGAGACTACCAGAGGCCTTTCCAGACTTTGGCAAACTACAAAGGGCCAGGTTTTCTTGAACATTTTCTGCAAATCCTGCCAGAATCCCATAGCAGAATTTTCTTTGGGATCTTACACTACTTGTTATATTTCTTCATATTAAACTCAAGCTACTATAATAACCTATAATAGTAGGTCTAGTAAATTATTCCAGCCTAAGCCATTATGTTTTTATCATAGAGGGTTATCCTGTTCTATAAAACCATAAATGGTAGAAACTCATTCCCCTGGAATTCCCCGTGCATCTGTTATGCTTGTTTCTACTTTATGACAATACCACCTGAATGTAACATTTTGAATTTTCTTCTTTGTGATTAAAGCATACAATTGTAGATTTTTAAATTTTATTTTATATTACAGCTATTTTAAGAATGTGCCATTAATACTTACAAGAACTTCATAATCTGGGACTGTGTGTGTTCCAAGACCTGCCCTGTCAAAAGTCACTCTGTATGTAGCATTAAGAGTGTCTACAGCGTCTATTTGTCCAGTGAATAGTCCATCATGGACACCTCGCAAACGTGCTTTAAAAAACAAACAAACAAACAACAAACCAAACATTATAATGTTCTGATACCATTGAGAAAAATAGACTTAATACATCTTTTGCAAGTAACCCTTTATACGTATATTTAAAACCCACAGATTAAATGGGAAAAAAAAAAAAAAGGTAAACCCAGAAAAACAATTGTATGCAATAGAAATACTACCCAAATTTTTGTCAAATTTATCTTTGCAAGTCAAGTATTTCCCAAATCTAATCCTTAGCACTACACTTATGTCTAAATAAAACACTATTTAATACCCAATACCTTCTGACAGACAGATTTTGCAGGCAAAAGTCAATTTCCGGATGATTTTGCATACCATTTCTCTTTGATCACTTCCACTGATGACTGCTTATTTAGCAAAAGACAATGAGGAACGCAGCTCAAGGATACAGCTCTAGGAGAGTGAGGAGAGGCAGTGTTGTGCATGCCTGCTCTTCAGCAAGAATTAAGGGCATTGTTGCTGAAGAACGCAAAAAGCAATGAACAGTAATGGCTTGAGTGGGAGATACCATGCTTAAGTGAAAAGCATCTGGATCACAAACGGACAGGATGGAGGAATTCAATTTTTTATAAAATTAGACAAAACTTGTGGAATGTTTTTAACAATATTCCTTCCTCAGTTATGTGTAAGTTTTTTCAGTAAGGCAATGTCATGTTTAGTGTACATGTCCAACTACACTGCAATATAAATTGTGTATCTGTTTCAAAACAAGTATTTTTACTTGTATTTATGGAAAAATAAAGCTCAAGTTTTGTATTAGGTTAGATTTTAAACTTTCAGACAGCACTCAGCTCTTTGCATTTAAGCATCTCTCTCTCCAAGACTTGTTACATATACTAGACATAAAAATAAAATCTTCAGGAATAATAAACCATACTAAGTTTGTACCTCAAAACCGTATCACTGTTTTATAAGTACTAGCTAATCCTCACAAGCACCTTCTCAAAGAGCTAACAATAAAAACATACAATTTTGGATGTTTTAAATTTATTTTAACTATGAGCACTAAGTACATTACGGTTTACTAAAATCTTTGCAAAACACTCGGCTGTTTTTTTGTTTATTTGTTTTTAAGAAATTACCTGTAACTTTCGTTCCTATTACAAGCGGTAATGGAATTTCTTCTGGAAGATCTTTGAACTGTGAAATATCTGCAACTTTCCGCTGCTGCAAAAGTCTTATTTTCTGCCGTTTCTGTTTTAACGCTGATCTCTCTTCCTCAAAGAACGCAGAGGAACATCTATAATACAATTAACTTAAATTCAGCACTGAAAACATACATATGTGAAGACACATCAAATAAATAGGCATAGTTTACAAATTAGTGAGGCAAAATGAAAAAGCTTGGGGTGAAGTGTTCAAGAGAAAGGGATTTTGTTGAACGGATTTAGACAGTCTTACTCCCCAAAATTATCACTTCTAAAATAACAGTTTATTTGAAAATAATACTCAGGAATGCTAGCTGTTTGCATTGGTATATCAGAAGAGTATAACTTTTTGGGGCTTTTTCTGCTTATAGGGATCCACCTGGTGTCACAACAAAGCTAAAGCAGATCCCACATCCAGTCTACTCTGAATACCAGTTCAATCCATGTAAGGAGGACTTACTGTGAGGTCCCTGGCTGCCATCACTTACTGATACATAGGAGATCCCTTTCACACGTGCTCATTAGCTCAATTAAATTAATTTAGTATGAAAGGGCACCAGACTCAGAACATAAAAGGGCACTTCTCTGTCTCTTGTACTCTGCACAGATGCAAGCAAAACTCAGCCACAAAATCTCTATTCTGCAGATGACTTGTTCTGAGATTGATCATAGTAAAAGTACACATTTGTTTGAACTTGGGCTATTGTGTAAAATCAGGTAATCTCTAGCAGTCCCCTCCCCCATTTTGGAGGGGGGATGTCTTAAAATGTAATCTAAAAGATGAAAGACTTACTCCCAAGACCCTTACTTGGTTTTATTAATTCTTCATTTTTAACCTACTGAATAGGCATGATGCATGAGGGAAATACTGAAAGCATAAAGACATTAAGGACTCGATCCTATCTCTCATTCCTTATTAAAAAAAAGTTTTATCATTCTTGTGTCAATGAAAGAAGTCATTTAAAAAAGGAGTACAGATGCTATTGTAGGTCTGCTTAATTGCAGAAGCAGTTATTTATCAAATAATTTACTACCTTTGTTAATTGCTTTACTGCAGTCAAATGCAATTTAAACATTTTCTGTGGAAGTCATACAGTTATATATTGATTACTGATCAATAAAAAGTCCTATTTTATGAGGTTATTTTAGAAGACACTGACAACTCCTCCATTGGTTCCCCCTTCTATACTGCAAATTATTTTCTTTTTTAAATCCCTTCAAGATCTTCCTCAGTTATTTCTCTCTCACTCAGTACCAAGCAGTCAGCTCCTATTTCCAAGTCTGCTTCTACTACTCTCTTATTATATGCTGAAATAAATTCCTATGTTTTCTTCTGTATACCCCTCACTCAGAGAGTTCCACAAGGCCATTTCACTGTTCTCCAAAACTTCTCTTCCTTGCAATGTGTATGAAAAGATCATTAAGAACTAAGCTGCCAGGGTGCTGAAACCGCTTTCTGTCACACTTACCAGCAGTTTCACACTCTCTTGTCCATATGCATACCTCGTTTGCCTTTTAACTTATACATGGTTTCTAAGTTATATGGGGCATAGACCATCTGTTTTGTCCAGTGTGTACAGTGCTAACACAATGAGATCTTAGTCCCAGGCAAGACATTAAAAAAAAAAAAAAAAGAATGAAGAGGAATGAACTGAAGCTGTGATGTATTTCTGTAAGGTATGTGCAGTAATGCACTGCACTGAAGGTTCCTTTACTAGGCTTTCCAATCACTAGCACTGCAAAAGTTGTCACTATCCTTTGTATAGTCTAGAAACTGTACTGTAGATTGAGCGACGGTAGGCGTAGGTGTGTGTCCCATTCACCAGTTTACCACTGAAGAGCAGAATGTGTTTACCTTGAGTTGTGTATTGCCTAATGATCCCCATTAGGAATTCAAAATATCTGGAAAGGGATATGGCAGAAAGACAGAGAGAGATGGTGGTTGGGAGACTTATGCAAAGCTTATTTGGATATTCTCATTTAAAGATGCTATTTGCTTCATATTTACTACTGGGGAGGAACAAGTGTGAAATAATGCTTGCCATGGGCTTTTAAATTTCATTGAGGAGAACAGAGTGACTTATCACAGCAAGACAAAAAAAAAGAAATAATAAAAAAAAAAGGCAATAAAGACTTTAATAATAGTCCTTCTGATCATGTCCAGGGTCTTGCATCAAGAACATCAGATATTGCCTAATGTTCTTTGACCTGCGCTCTTAGAAAAACAAATTCAAATGCTAATATACTAATCACTGATCTTGGAGGTCCCTACAAAAGCAACTACTGTTTTTCTACTAGCTCAGATGTCCTTAAACAGTCTCTGTTCTGAATGCTGTAGGTCATGGAGGTAGAAAGCATTTGCAATATATTTCTGGCTTCTGTTACAGGAAATCTCCAACCCCATGCCCCTCAAATGTATTTAATAAAGGTTATCCCATCTTTGTGCCATTCCTATCAAAAAAATGAAGATGAAAACTATGGTACAGATCACATTGCAACCTCATTACTTTTCTATAGACGCTTTTTAAGAGGTTGAACGTTCTTCTCAGTTTCTACCTCGGTCATGAGAATTTGAACTAACAGAGGAATCATCACCATCATATAGTTGCAGGACAAGCATATCTGAGCTTAATTCATATCCATTGCTATTTCACAACCCCAATGAAGTTTATACGGAGTACACAAGACTAACTATTACCTCTTCCTTTTCTTGGAGCATATCTTTCCCCACAGTCTACTGGAATCTTACAAGTTTTGCAGGTTCCCATGAAGTACACTGCTGTGCCAATCAACCACACTGTTGATGGTGTGATAGGACATTTAAAGTAGCAGCAGACATAAGAAAATATTACAATATATTTAAAACAAAATTAAAAAAAAAGACAACAACCACGTGCACAGCTATCACACAGAGACAGTATTATCCTCTGCCATCAACACTGTGGATGCAAAATGTCTTATTTTTTCTCCTCACTCATGGGGAGATACTGGTATTGACATGGTATTTAGCTTACTTGCATATGATGAGGACAGACAAGAAATTTCTAACAGAATAGTAATATCAGAAAGGTTTGCTCCAGAAGTAGATGAAAATTGAAAAAGCATTCAAATTATTTAGAGTAATTAAAAATCTTTTAGAACCGAGCCCAAGGACACTCTGGAGATCTTAAAAAAGACTACCAATAAATGGTTTTTTTTTCAAATTATTAAAGAAATGAAAAGCAAACAGGAGTGCTTATTTTAGGTTGATAAAAAGCAAGATATCATAAACTTCTGGTTAACAAACAAAACCAAACTCTATATCCAGTCAAATACTTGTACTTCAGAATTCAGATAAAATAACTTCCTGCCCATTTAGACTTGTGCTTCCTTAGGCACGAGTCTCTCTTTTTAAAAAACTAACCATACGGTAGCTTAACAAAAAAACCCAAACCAAAACAAACACCATGCCCCTCCCTGATCCTCCCCACCCCCCGACCCCCCCCCCCAAAAAAAAAAAAAAGAAAAAAAAAAAAAAGAAAAAAAGGGAAGTTACATCAATGGTCCAACAGACTGCTGAATGAGGCAAGCTGATCTTCTGTAGTGGTACCCATCTTTGGCAAAAGTGAAATGAGCAAGAGTAAGTGATGATTTAACCTCCAAACACACCAATTCCCTCTCAGTGGGAAGCATGATGATAGAGGAACTAAAAGCTGGCTTACAGTTAAGCTCAAATGATATGAACACCTTTCCAAAAGGAACTATTTTTAAGGAGGCTCTGCTCTGCCTTCCCCAGACTGGCAATTTTCAGTTATGTAAAGTTGTTTACAGGTACAGAAGATGAAATAGCCTCCATCGGACAAAATATAATCTGACTCAGTACAGTGACGTATGAAATGGATTCAGTGCTTTAGTATTTATATTTTTATAAATAAACCAGTCTTTTATTTCTGAAATACTACTTACATATTTTTCTCCTGATCTTACAGAACCACAGAATGTTTGAGTTTGGGAGTGATCTCTGGAGGTCATCTGCTTCAATCCCTCCAAGCAGGGTCACCTACAGGAGGCTGCCCAATACCATGTCCAGACAGCCTTTGAGTATCCCTAAGGATGGAGATTCTACGACCTCTCTGGCAACCTCTACCAGCGCTCAGTCACCCTCACAGTAAAAAAGTGTTTTCTTATGTTAAGACTGAACCTCCCGTGTTTCAGTTTGTGCCCATTGCCTCTATCTCCACACAACACTGAAAAGAGCCTGGCCCCGTGTTCTCTATACGTTCCCTTCAGATATTTATACACAGAGATGAGATCCTCCCTGAGCTTTCTCTTCTCTAGGCTAAATTGCATAGGTTCTGTGAAAAGGCTGAACTGAATCAGTGGATTTAAGAATTAAGAATTCTAAATTAGAGAAAAAAGTATGCCCTTTGTTAAATTTGGATTCTTCTCTACAATGTCTAATATTTTACAGGTGACTTTCGCCTCTCTGTTTTGGCAGCCAAGCCAGGAAAAGTTGAGGATCTATAAAATGGTTTATAAAATAATACGATAAATGAGATGAAACTGTGCACTTGTTTTCCCCATGAAGAGCTTAATTATAACCAGAAGAAAACTTATTCAAAAATTGGCCTGTCTTCCATGCCAGGAAGCACTGCAGCATAGAAGATACAATAATAATTTCAACATATCCTAGCTTTGACACTCAGTTATCTAGAGTGGGAAGAGAAACATTTCAAGTACAGGCTCATGAGAACTACATGGACTGGACACACGCACATAAGGAATAGGGTGTGTGGCGGAGCAGGGTGTGTGCTCAGAGAACACATTTTCATAAAATGTTTTTCTACTCTCAGCTATTATTTTGCTTTACTACCTGCATGCAAAATTATTTTAGAAGTAAGAATTCCAGAAACATCAAAACTACATGTGGTTATTAGTTGAAAAGAAAGAAAGAAAGGAAAAAAAAAATTACCTCCGTGGTTTTCCCATTAATCGTCTGATTTTCCCCCATTCTACTCTTGTCAATTTTCTGGTTTTCAAATTTGGAAAAGATTCTTTCAGACATACACAGAAGTCATTATCTCCTTCAAATAGTGGCCTGTTGAAACAGAATTGATTCCCTGTTAACTACACTTAGTAAACTTTTGTCACGAGATTCCAAAAAGCATCAATCATAAGAAATACAATGAAAACAAAAAGTATAAATCAGTCATATAAACAAGACATTCCTATTCAAAGGACAAATTTAACCCGAAATAAATTCAACTGAAAACAAAGACAGAAAGTTTACAGTACTATTGTTCTATCTGAGCCTTACAGAGATGTTTAAAAATGTTCCTCTCTCTTGTTACTACAGGGCAACATAGGTATTCATCCTGCTTTGTAATGTATATAAAGGCACCAAATGAAACTTCAGCAAAGCCAATGCAGTATCATGAGGATGCTAAAACACACTGAAGGAAACCATAAAGATATGGTGAGGTGTTGAGAATAAAGGACGGGACAATGTAATACTGAGAAATAAAAAGACAGTACCTTTTTCATAAATCCATTCAATTTTAACCCAGATTCTCAACACAGGGTTCCAAAAATACAGGACATTGAGCCTACATTCTCTACAGCTATACAAGTGAGACTTTTATTATACCATACCATGACTCCATGATGAAGCAGAGGATCAGTATTATAGAAGTGACAGTTCAGAGAACCCACCTACACAACTTATGAATTTCTCTTTGATGCTATGACCTGTCTGCATCTCTATGTTCTATGATTGCCTTTTACTTTGTAGTACCACATCCTTCTTGGACTGAAGAGACAAGGAAGCTGCAATGGATATGGCTGTCTAATAGCATGTTAATCATTAAAGACTATATGCAACCGAAGTAGATCTCACGTAGTGAGAACAAAATAATAACTGCATCCTAGATAAAGCCACTTTTCTCCACTCTCTGCAGGGTGCTGCGGTTTAGAGAGGAAGATCCCCAAGCACAGAACAAAGAGGATCTTGGAAGCAACACTGCTTTCAATGGAGTGTGTGGGGTGGCGGGAGAAAGGGAAGGTATATATAGGTAAGGAGACTCGGGCAAGAATGGAAAAGAATATTTTTGAAGCAGAAGGATCTGCAGCTGTGACATGAAGTGAAAAGGAAACCACAAAGGATGATCAATGAGGCTCAGGAAACAGACAAGGAAGCGTATAAAAAAGTTTTATTTTATCTGGATTTACTGTCGCTAAAGAAAGATAGCTGTGTAAAGAACAACTGGTTTGTTTTTTTTGGAGAAAGAGAATCTGTATTTGATTGTTTTTACTATCACTTGTCCCTAAGCAGGCACACTGCAAACCCACAGCATCCACAAGATTGGAACCTCTGGGAAATGGTGTAAGCAAGCTACAGCTGCATCTGATTCTGAAGGCCCATGATCCCTGTAGTAGTAAGTGACTCTTTAGGAGTCTCTGCGTGTCAGAAGTCAATGGGATTTTACAGAAAACAGTCCCCTGCAGCAGCGTGGAGAGAATCCAACTAAAACAGCTTCAATAACCTAATAACCACAGATGATAGTTGTAGAGTTTAAAATATTTCAAAAACTTATAGTAGACATGGCATTTAAATTGATTATTTCAATTTCAGATGAGACAACTTGATTAAAATATTTTGAGACTTGTCAGTGAGCTATATTTTGTCAGTTGACAGTTGGCTCTATGCTTTACACTTTTTTAAGTTTCTCATTAAGTCTAGATCATATCACTCAAAACAACACACATCAAAGTTTTTCTTCCAAAGATATGTAGTTTCTTAGTAAACTATGTTATAATATCTTAACATGATCATCTCTTACAGGCATTACAAGCATACATTGGTAACTATCAAAGAGGTTTTCAGAATTACCTGCTAAACTCAAATTCTAGTCTACTGATAGACTTAAAGTTCCACAGACAATTATTTGAGAATAAACTAAAAGTTCTTGGACTGTTGTAAAAATCATGATTATAAATGGAAGTGGTGGAGTCACCATCCCTGGAGGTATTTAAAAGGCGTGTAGATGAGGCGCTTAGGGACATGGTTTAGCAGGTATGGTAGTGTTGGGTTGATGGTTGGACTCGATGATCTTAGAGGTCTTTTCCAACCTTAATGATTGTATGATTCTATGATTCTATATTAGAATTACTAGCAGGAGTAAGTAGGGTTTGGGTTCTTTGTTTGTTTCCAAATAAGGGGGGGGGAAAAAGCATGTAAAGACTACTTCTTTCAAAGAAATTAAATCCTATAGATGATGAATTTAAAACTAACGAAAATGGACATGTAATTTTTCTACTTGTGATGAACATATCCTAAAATGTTTTTCTGTTGCTATGACTGCCTTCTCAGTTAAGGAAAACAGCCGCAGCAATTGTGATTAAAATAGGAAGAAAAAACAGTAATTATTTTGAATTTATTATTATGAATAAATTCTGGAAAAGAATGCTTGTTAACGCTGAAGCTATTCTTTAGAATATTAAATACTAGTGTTTCATATACTAGTCAATCAGTGTAGATTTTAAGATTCCATTCATCAATAATGATTTTTACATTTTAGAATTTTTAGTTTTTCATGATTAGGGACTAAATTAAAACAGCTCTTTTAAACAATTCACACCACCTTGCTAGCAGCATTAAGAGAACAAGTGCCAAAGACTCTGAAGCACAAATTGCAGAAACAGTCTAGGAGATAGATTAGGATATCCAAAAAGGATGCTGATATCTAGACAACAGCTGAATAGTCACAACCTGGAGCTCTGTAAGTGATCAGGATAAAAACAGGGTGATGGGGAAGAAATATCCGAAATCAACATTTACACCTTTTAGGGAAGCAGCACTTATGAAGAAACGGTCTCCATCCCATCCCCCGTGTGTAACACTGATCCAAGGATTCAAAAAAGTCTAAGTGTTCTGATAACTTCATGCTTAAGATGCCAAAAACATTATGAATAAAATCTTGTATCTGGTAGAGGCAGAGAAAATTATTTCCATGAAGGAAGGCTTTCTATAGAAGACCACGCAAGCAAATACCCAAGTAGGTTGCTCATTATAAAAAAGAGGAAAAAAACCCACAAGACAATGAAATAATTTTCAATAACTAATAATTTAAGAGTAAACCTTGGAGTATCTAACCAATATATATGGAAATTTGCAGCTCAATTTCAGAAAATGACTTGTTTCTATACTAATAAGAGATAATCATATAAAAACAAACATACTTATCTATATTTGAATAGAACCATTCGTATATGCACCACTTGTGAGCTTTGGGAAGTTTGAGCAGGTTACGAAGCCGTAAACCAATCTTCTGTGATGCCTTCTTGTCTGGTGTTGGCATTGTTGTATTAAACTTCTATGTAGTAAAATAAAGGAAACAGTTAAACACAGTCTAACATTCTTCAATATTCAAATAATTAAACTAGATTTTCTTGATAAAAGTTTGCATATTAGTAATTGTTACATTTTAATTGCACATACTGTTTCATGACAGTTTTTTGTTGCAGATCTATAATAATCCTTACTGCGTTATATCAGCAATGCAATCAAACATAACAGATGACAAACTTTAGCAGGATCAATACAACAAATTATCTCTATACAAAGCTCTTCTAACAGAAACATTTTCCAACACTGAAAGGACATTATTGGTAACAGTAGCATGGCACTGAAGTACACACAGACTTCAAAAGTTTGAGGCACTACTGAACATTGTCTCAAGTGAGCATATGTGATGTTACTGCTCAGATGCCAGCAACACCAACTGCCTCATTTGCATTAGTGCCTCTAGTCTTGTTAACTCTTCTTAAACTGAGGATGAAGCTAGCACAGGAACGTAATATAGCCAAAGCTTTGAGCAGTGTCTGCTTTTTAGAAAACTGCAAGAGTAACTAGCATGGACATAAGCAATCAAGTTTTAACTACATTTGAAAGCTATTTTATAAATTGCAGAAAAGACACTGTCTTAGATTGCATGCATTATACGTAGACCTGCGTTTAAACAAGACCGTAGAAAAATAGTTCTGTAATTTTGTTCCAGGGATGGCTGTCTTAACTGACCAAAAGAGAAACTTACTTGCAAAAAATAATAGCTTTTTGAGAATATTAGTTTAACTGGGTCCCCATGCCATAATCAATTGTTATCCTTCCCCAAACACTCAAAAGTATTTTGACCTTTAGCAGCAGCGATAATAGGACAAAGCATAAGGTAGGCACCTTGCTGGCTTCTGCTGCACTTAACCACTACGTTATAGATACAGGTCCCATTTCTCCCACTGGAACTCCAGGAAAGAAAGCCTAGCAGGCCAGCAAGATCTGTGAGCTACGGCAGCTGCAGTCCCTCACAAATGTTTATCTAGCAATCACTGGACCTCCTGAACCAGACATTTAAGTACAAACCAACCGGGCTTAGAACATTATCCAGGTCTTTCTACTGCTAAGAAATCATGGTAATGAGTAGAGAGAAATGTCATGGTCGTCATCTCTGACAAAATGGACCCAGCAAAATGGCAACTGCTAAGTCTTCCCCATTTGACATTGCACAGTACAGTTCAGAAGGCAAATAAGACCAGTATTCAAATAATACTTTTTCAGTGTGGCAAATTCAGGTTCATAAGGTGATGGTAGAGATAAGTGATTTGGATGACAAAGGTACTAGAGAGCCAATTCTCTGAGACTAAGAGATGTTGCCCTGTCTAACATAGCAAATAAAGGCTGAAAGAAATTACAGCTGCTCTTTCATGCTATATCAAGGAGTAGACAGTCAAGTGGAGGAGTAGAAAAACAAGCTGTTTGAATTGGAAGACATTATCATTACAGGATCAAGAACGTATAGATGGCCATGAATACATTTAGGCTACAAATCTAGAGCAAGTTCCTAACTGTTGGAATACATTAAGTTCTATAGCAGCCTTCTAAATGATGTAGTCAGTGCAAGAAACCTAGACAGTTTTTAACTGAACCTTAATAAATTTATGCAGACTACAGGATACAATTGTTTGCAGGAGCAAGATGGGCAATTAGTCTGGAATCCTTTCTAGCTCTGTATGCTTATGTCCAGGATCAAAAAGAACAGGTACTCCCATAACAAACTGAGGAACCCAGTTGTGAGGAAGAAAAATATAAATCTGTTTTGAATTGTGGCTTACTCCTAGCAACAGCTTTCCTCACAAGAATATTCATAAACTGATAATGCAACTTGAAAAGCAAATGTATTCTAGTTTTCAGCTAACACAGATAGGCTTGTTCCCCTTTTTGGTAAAAATATCTGCATACACGTAGGTACCTGTGGAACCATCGCAACCTTCTGATTTCTTTTGGGTGACCTTGTGTTTATTTGTCTGTCATCTTCTTCACAGAAGAGTCGACTCCGTTTTGAATTTCTGAAGGGCTGCATGTATCAAAATTAAGAATGAATTACAAGAAAAAAAAAATCTGATTTCTCTGTTCATGCACAGAACTCACAGTGAGAGAAATGGAATGCCTTTTCTCTTGCCACCTATTGGTTTTAAGGCACATGGTACACAATAAATAGTGCCTCCTAGCTGTTAGAGACCTAAGGGCTGAGAGAAGAGAAGAAGGAATTTAAGATTCCAGGCTTTCCAATGCTAACTATAACCCATTACTATACTGCTGGCCTAGTTCCACGGAAGTATTTAGAACCTAACTCCCACTTGTTTCCAGAGGAGTTAGGTGTCTAAACACTTGTGTATCTAAGCTTAAAATAGTCCTTGCTTTGGTTATAAGCACATCTGTTAAACAGTTCGTTCTGAATTTTGGGTCAAAAAAAGTTTATTCAAACAGCGTATTTGTTTTGGTATGTTCTCAGTAAAAACATTAGCTGGATATAATTTTTTTGCAAGGATTTCTTACGAGTCTAATAGTGTTGTGGGTTTGTTGGTTTTTTAACTCATTGAAAGTGCCTACACTGCAAAATACTAAGAAGCTGAAGTCTGAAGAAACTAAAGCTTGAATAAGTTATATGAAAATATCAGAAAAGAGAAGAATTTAGAATTTATGCTAACTAAAATTTACTTGTGTGCTAAGATGTTATAGCTCAAAGAGCATTAGAAGGCTGATCGAAAACAAGAAACCATATTGCAAATATGTGTAATGAAAAAAATACTTCCATTTAGTTATTCTTCAACATTTTACACTATGGGAAAAAACTTCTGCTTTCAGTGAGGACAAAAGAGTAAGCTATGACTGGCTGTTAGTGCTGAAAGCAAGCAGCTTTTCCTTCCATGAAGACTTTGTGGCCCAGCACAGGAGCCAGCCACAACTGAAACGTGTCTCCTTTGCAGAAACCCAAGACTGCACCCTGTAGCGTTCCTTGTATTTCAAACTATTTACAAAGGTGATGAGTAAAGGCAGAACAAATGCAGATTTCACTTCTTTCAGAACAGATGGTGAAAGTGCTACAAATCGATATGGGTATGAAATCTGTAACACCCACAGTGTGAAGAATACTGATGACAAAGATAAGCCCTTAATAGGAGTCAGAAACAAAATAAATCTACAAAGTGAAACAAAACTTCACTAATAAGCATTTACACTTAAGAAAGACATTTAATAAGTTTGTGACTGATTAAAGTATCTGTTTGAAAAGAGATATTCTCTATTAAATTAATTAGTGGTAGCAAAAAAATCTCTGTTCCATGCCATGAGAACAGCTGGAGCTTTCCCAGGGAAACGTGCCTTTCTTACTCTAAATTACATGCATTTTATAAATATAACTACACAAGTGCATTTAAGTAACAGTAGTGTCCTGTATGTGCTAGACACCTAAGCACATTCAGCACACAGAAGAAAATGTCCATTCCTTGTAGATGTTACAAACCAGGAGAGAGACACACACTGAACAGAGGAACTATATATCGGCAAGGTAACCAAATGGTGCCCGCATCATATTAACATAGTAATTAATTTATCACATTAATTGTTATGGATGTTGTTTTTCTCTCTTCACCTAGATACATCAAGTTCTTTTCTTCACATCTTCCAATTTGCTAAACCTTAAGAAAAATCTTAAATTTCAATTACAATGTCTTTATGTTCTTTCATAACATCTTTGCCATCCTTGACAAACCATGATCCTAAAAAGGAAAGGTCAGAACTATTCTAACTTTTGAGCAAGAAAACAAATCCACAATCCTGTTCCAACAATAAAAACTCTTACATCACAGAACTCCAGGACTTTTTAATCACAGCATTCTGCCCACAGGATGAAAAGCCAGGTTCCTATTGAATATTTGCAATTATATTTTAGTCTTGACATTTGAGATGCTGGTTCCAGAACAATATTTTTCTCCCAAATGTCTATATAGTAGTTCTTGATTTTCTGACGCTATACTAGATGAAAAGCATGCGCCAACACAGGAACACAAATGCTAAAACAATCTAGACAAAACTTAAGAGTTCCTTCAACCTTATGCTATGGCTATGATCCAGATCAAGAGAACTGTTTTACAACCCTCAACAGAAGCTGCCAAATTCTATTCCAAGGAACTATCCAAAATGATAAAGAGTGTTTCATCCGTCTGGATTGCCGGTGCCTCACACGAGAATACAATAACAAGCGTTGCAAAGAGGTATCATCCACGTTAGCTAAATAGGTCAGGCATTTTTTGAAAGATTTTTCAACCAACAGTACAACATATCTGCAAAACTTCCAGTGTTCAGGGAACTCAAACTAGTACAGAAGACTACATCACATCTCAGCAACACGGGCCACTGCTAACACATCAGACTATCCTCTGATCTTTCTCCCAGCTTTCTGCAGAATACTGAACTACATTCAAAGTTTGACTCCTTATTTTTAATACCTACAGCCAGCATACCTAAAGACTGACTAAGTTTTCGTACAAATGTTATGGCTAGTGATTTTGGTTCTTTAGCACATCCAATCTTCCAAGTTACCGGTAAGGCTTTTTTCTGTGAGAAATGAGCATTCCTGGTGAGCAGCTGAAAACTGTGACATGAACTCCTGCAGGAACTAAGGGCCATCACAAAGTTCTGGTCGCTGTCTGGAATTTGCATTTTGTAAACATATAGCAACATATGTATACATATCTGCATGAATCCTACCAAAATAAATACCTTCTCTGTGTAAGTCTCCCTCCACAGGGAAAAGATCACAGAACAAGCTACATATAACAGATGTTAGTCACATTGCTTAATGCACTACTGGATGCTGCTCAGATATTTTGATTATGTGCAGAGCAGGCAAGTGCAATAGTTTTCAAACATAATGTTTCCCTTCCAATAAACAGTTCACAAAAATAATGATTTGAATAACAAACAGGTGATAGTTGGCAAGTTAGTAGAAGGCGGCGATTACTGTAGAAGAAGGCGGCACCAGAAGAGTATGGGAGAAAGATCCGCCTAGCAATTGAGACAGTATTTCATATACTCTCCAGGGTGTAGTAAAAAGAGCACACACTATTACAGATGTAGACAAACAAGGCACCGGGTGCAATATAGCTGGTGGCAAAACCAAACCAAAATCACATGATTTGGTAAGGTAGAGGAGGTTGGGAATAGTCAAGAAAAGCTTGAATGTGATACAACGGGGAAAGAAACAACAATGGAATATTTCAAAAAGAGAGAGCGAAATGGTCAACCCAAACACCAGACACATGCCCTTGAAGGGTGCAGGCTCATTACCTTTCATTCCCCCACCCCAAGGTTGTTCTTTAACGTAAGGTCTCCTATGAGACCTCTCAGAATACTACACGACATTTCACTGACATTCCTTTATTTTTATTAAAATCTGCCCCCCAGAAGGCACAATGATGGAAATGCATTATGACATCTTCCCTTCCTTTTCTTTATGCATCAGTTCTCAGCCATAATTAGAAGTGAGATATTTCATGGGATAAAACAAATGGTTCATCAGAAACGGCGATTCCTAAGTTCAAGGTGGTAGATACAGTACAAACATTTCACACAGCACTTGCTTTCCAAAAAAGAGAGAAAATGATTACGAGCTATCTTGAACAAGGTCAGCAATTTAATCTGTTTGATTATTCATTTATAAAATATGTTTTCATCTCATATTCAAACTGTGTAGACTGCTTGTGAAGGACACAGTTTAACATTCGGAAATTATGAAACTATAAATCTCAGCCAAATTTTTTGATCCTTAAATTTGATGTACTTTATGGTATTTTACCAATCCTAAAGTTGTCTTTTTATTGCTTCTTACCATTTCCACTGCAGAACCAGCATTCTTGCTTTTCCAAATGGGTGTTTTCTGCAGAGAATTATACTTTTCATTCCACGAACTGGATAAACTTCCCTCTGTTGTGAAGAAATCGATGTCATTAACATACATATACATATATGTATGTTTTAACATAACTACTATCCAAAAGCTAATATAACCATCATTAACTACTAATATATTTTTGTTACTTGCAACATCTTCTTTGAATTCAATTACAAATGGATTTTAGATTTCAATACTGTTATTAAATTGTTCTGAACACTAATGAAAAAAAAAATGAAAGAGATTTTCAGTACAAGGAGAAACATGAACAAAACATTTTTTACTCCTGGCAACATTTAGATTTCTTGAAATCTCCTTTACTGGAATCAGTTAGTTCCACTGCCAGGCTGACACACATCTAGACAGCTGTACTGTGGCCGTAACTGAAACCTGGAGAAGGTAAAGCCCTACAAGAACCTGGCTGCCTTCTGGTTCTAAAAAATGATGAAGTGGGTGCACACCAACAAGTAAATAAAATTTTATAAATTTATTGAAACAAACCTATATTAGTTACAACATATTCAACAGACCATGTCTTCTTCCTCGTGTAACAGAAACCTTGTAATATATAAAGAAACTTTTATTGTTGACCAGATTATAAGTATTCAAAATTTGTATGAATGTTCCTGAAGACAATTTCAAAGAAAAAGATATAATAAACAGATTTTTGATTTAGCCCACAACTTGCTGACAGAAAACACAAAACAGAGATTGTGAAATTCCTTCCTAATGTACATTTTGTCACATGTACAGGTCTCGCTAAGAATCCTTCTCCTATCTCATCCTCAAGAGAGGAAAGATTACCTCAATCTTCTCATCAAACCTGACGCCTAGGCAGTACTTAGGAAGAAAAA